AATACAATGTTAGCTTCCTCGATAAGCGCACGCAATTTGGTATAAGTTTACTTACTGGTCTTGTTCGGGCGAAGACAAGCGTATCATTCTGAAGGAAGTCCTATTTTTAAGGGGAAAATTTTTTTTCTGTATCACGAGCGTAAACGCCAATCGTTGTCCAAGCTGCGCTGATCTGCACTGCGCAATTTGTAACACTTGGGTTCGAATCGGTACCACTGAGCGGAAATCACGGAGCGGATGTTTGGGCCTCGATCCTGACAGTGATCGACAAAGTAATGTACAGTCTAGTGTGTTCATGATTTTGGAAATTATGCGCGTAATTTATAACTCATTTACTACAGTAAATAATAACGTAGAACATAAGAAAACTATAACCATGAATGTTGTAATTGCTCAGAGAGAGAGAATTATTCAAAAAGAAGTATCACACAATATTAATATTTGGAAAGCATCAATTCAATGTGATAGTAATACTTATAACACTGTGAATTCGACAAAGATTTCTTATGAAATGAAATGATTAATCAATAAGACATTCGCCTGCCGTGTTCCTATATTCTATTCCTGAAACACCAGATTTATCGAATATCAGTACCTAAAGAGTTCGAGCAATCGGTAATTAACCTCTCTACACGTATCACTATTAATATTAACAATTAACTGAGCTCATACATTATTGCTCGTTATATTACTACATACTTGTAGAGATTTATCATCTAGTGTGTATTGCTGTAGGCTACGACTGCCAAGATCAATTTGCCATTAGTGTAAGCACGTAGAAATATTCGGATCTTGTGATGTATAGATGACAAACTATTACTATGGTTATTTAAAACAATATACTTACTTGCAACGAAGTTCCTACGGCTAGTTAACCTTATTACTATACGTACGTATCAATAATCTCTTTTTATATTTCATAGTATAAGCGGTGAACGATAATCTTGGAATCTGTTCGATGTTCTTTATCTCCGTAGTCTGAGGAAAGCATCTTAGAATATACCACTTTTTGTTCTGAAGTTAGATCCTATAGTAAGGCAAAAACGGTAATATAGTAGCAGAACAATAGTGATAGATGATAGACGACGTTGCTTCAAATGACAAGTTTCGTCAACGCACTTCCTACGGGTTGTGCTGTAGTTGAGAGCATTACCTACCAAAACGCTATCCAATGTACCCCCTCTTTATAAACTATGTGAATACGAAATAGATATCATTTCTTCAATAGTTTTTCCAAAGACAAGTCTATACACATAGCAGGTTGGCTATACGAGAGAGATCCGTTTTCTCTTAATAAACAAAGCGGAAAGACTAATCAAAAACAAACGGCGACGAAATCGAAACAAATGAAATTATTGTGTGTCAATCCTAATTAGGAAGTCGCTCTCAGCTCATCTCTACCAAATGGAAAGTGGGAAAGACCTATAGTTTTACATTGTATGCTTTTTGATTTTCAATAGTTACTTCAGAACTATGTCGTTAATTTTAGAAACTCACACATTAATTGACCAGTTGGTTCAATCATCCTTCGAAAATGAATATGCCCTCATAAACTCAAATGGATTCTTTACTCAATATGGAATCAGGTCAAATTTGATGGAACCAATAAAACTCAATATCATGTGATTTAAATGAGAATGTCTTAAATTAGTATCACTAATTCCAAATTTGGTCCCTTCTTTTTCATCAATTTTCTTTTTCGTGTTTACCTAATTTTCTTGGGTAGATGAGCTGTTGAGAGCGACCCTATGGCTGTAAAGTTATTCATAAATGGAAATACAAAAATCCTAATGTGTCAATCCAATAGCTCCTCAGCCCTGATACGATGATTATGAGCGAGCGCATCTATCACCATTACTATCCGTAATAAGAAATTATAATCGAAAGAAGTGAGGTTTGAGTGCAGTACTGCAATGATTGTCGTCTTTTTTTTTTATTTGACGGTGGATGTGGAAAGAGAGGCGAGAGTGGTGGTGTTGATATAGGTTACAATGATAGTTAGTATTTGAGTTACCAAGAAGTTGGTGTAGTCATTATCTTCCAAAACAAGCTTGGTCTACTCCTTCGATCAAGTACTTGGCATGCGTCATTATTAATTAATGTGACACTGTTGAATTTTTAACGCTTGGACTAAATTGGCCTGGACTTAACACCAAATCGGGAAAAAAATGATGCAACAATTACACATAAGCAGCCAGCATATTACTGTATAAATAATTTACAAATATTGATGGAGATAATAGCCGTGGGAATACGCCTCATTCGCCCTCAAAGGCTGTAAAACAGAACTTTACTCATTCATGAATAAGCTTAATCAAAGAAACATGCTTTTTGTTTATTGAGCAGGACACTATAAATTGACGATTTATCTGAATCTTTTTGTATCAACTCCAAAGTTAATAAAATGCATATCCATGACGATGATCCGCAAGCTAAGAGCGACTTTGAACAGCAGGTGCTTACCTCTTTTACATTAATAACTTGCATATTTAATATTTATCATCCTCCCTGTTAAAATTCAGTCGGAAAAAGTCCAAGCCGAGTTCGAGAATCTGAACGAGAAAGAGGTAAAAGAACTTGTGCGCCAAATGTTCAAAAACGTCAACGATATGTACATTAAAAGGTCTAAGGAGATTGAGAATTACATCATCAGAAAAATGCCTACGGTGCCAGCAAGAGGCTCTTATAAAACAAATGAAGAATATGGAAAAGCATTTACAGGTAAATTTCATCTTGACTGACAATGATACAATTGTTTAACCTTGTCACCTGACAACTCCCACATCGACAAGAGTATAAAAAGGATTTCGAGTCGTACAAAAAACTCGTTTCCTGGGGTACGGCCTTCGTGAACTGGTTGGCCAAACTGTTTGATACTATCATCAATTTCATTAAAGACTCGTGGACCTGGTTGAAGGCCAAGATTCATGATATTTCTGCAAGGTAAGTGATTATGTCCGAATATTGCTTCCTTATCTCATGTATGAATACCATTTACAACGTTATTTTTATTTCATTATTAGAATTCAGTGTTTTGTCAAGAAGATAGGGGAAATGCTTAAGAAACTGTATAGCGTAATTTTTATTATGTAAAACTATCTAAACTCAACCCGAATTATCTGACAGTAAAGCAATTTATTACACCAATAAGCTAAGCGGTAGAACCCCAAAGCTCGCTGTAAATAAAGACAAATTATTGGACTCTCGCTGGTTAGGATATTACGTAATGTACTTGTAAAATTATTAGCATATGGTCTGGTAGATTGTAGCTAGTTGGTAGGTAGTGGTATAGAGCTTTCATCGATACAATGTGCGTACCATAATCGGCTACTTAAGCGGATGTTCGACACATGCAATTGTTTCGAATGCTTATAACAAAAGCATACAATGTAATCGGGTCGTACTCGTACAGAATTTTGTGGCTGAAAAAAATAGTAGACGCGACCAATTTATAAGAAAAATAAAACCTCATTGTTTAAATTTGTTGCTGAGTGTTGAGTGTATTGATGGTACGTTTAATAACTCACAATCAAATATTAACTGCTCATTGAGTAAAAGATTATGATCAGTATTGAGTAATGCACACCCATTCAAGGAGCGGCTGAGAAAAAATTAATCCATAGATTCAGCCGTGCCACTAAAGCAAAAAGTCTTCTCAATACACTTGGTTGTCACACCAGCCATTTGATTATATGCTTACTTAGTGCCCAAAATAATCTTTCAGAGCTTGTTTATTCTTTGTACATTCGACGCTTTATCAACATATTGATGAATCTGAATGAAATAATAGAGACCACGGATCCCCAATCCTTCAACAGAGTCAAAGAAGAATTACCGAAGAATTGGAATAGTCGTTATTACTTGAGAACCAATGCCGCAGTAATAGTTGTCATGACAAATTTGATAAATAGTCTAATTTACAGACGCACTGATAATGTGCATGTTTGAGAATCTTTTAAAAGCCAAATATTCCAGCATGTTGTCAGACAACTCACAGTCTTTACATTTTGCTATATTCAATTTCGAACCATTCGGTTTCGTCTTTATTCCCTCGCCTAAAATTAATTCATTCTACATGATTGTGGCTACAATAACTAGTTATCGCAGACACGCTTTCTGTTGATTATCTCTATTTATCCAGAATCTGCTTAAACGTTAATCTTTGTATTATCACACAATCAAAACACAGCACCTCTTCGATCAAATTGAGAAGTCTATACTAATATAAATAAGTAAACTTATTAGCACCAAACATAAGCAACCCTACAATGTCGACTTTATTTGATAGATGCTGTTGTTATTAGAACCAACAAACTCATCACAGAGCCGCAGTCACTTAAAAACTAATACTTTCAATTCGCCAGGATTTTCCACCTGTCTAGTTGCACAGCAATTATCCCAATAGTTCACACCGCTTGTCAAAAATTTTTTATCCTCTGCTTTTAGCAATCTGCATAAAATAGCCGGAAAATACATTTTACCACAATGCATGTAATATAAAAACTTTGGCGTAATAATGATAATAACGTAATGATAATCGCTTCCGTTACATCTGATGCTAACCTCCGAAATATTAGTAAATTTATAATAACTATCAAGTTTCACTAATTGTTTGTCAAACTGATTGGTTTTTAAAATATTGTACGAGCAAGTTATGTTAAGGTTCGATGATACAAAATTATCACAACATAAGCGGTCTGGCAACTCATAACAATTGGTCAGAATTGCGAGAACAAAAAAGTCTATAAATATGCATGCAATATCAACAATGGTCCAAATAATACACGATTGGCGACTTACGATTATTCCTCCGGTCTATCTAATTTATTGTTTTACTTTTAAACCTCCCAAATTTTGGAATGAAGATTAAACACTGCCGTGCTAGGCAAATATTTACGAGAGATTCGAATTCTCTTCTCCGTTATATTGTGTTTTTCTCATTCATCCCACTTGCAACAGCGTCTATTGTCGATGACTCTTATTCGTCGTACCAAGATTTATACGACGCATTTCTTACCACGCTTTTTCCAATTACTTTTGTCGTGCTGTTGAATGTCTCGGGAAAGCCTGGGTCGATAAAAAGTACGCTGTTGCCACTGCTGGACGATATATTGTACAATACAATTACTTGGGTCATTCCATTAACGGTGTCATTTGCCTATAACGATTCGCTGGCCGTAAAAATATTTTCAATTGTAAACATGTGTTTACATATTGTTTGCGCATTGATTGCATTAATCAATTGGCAGAGAATTGGTGATATTGATTACGATGCTTATGATGATATATGGACTGGCATAGGATTTTTTTGGTACTTTTTCCCGTGTTTGTAATTCCAATATTCTGGACTGCTTACTTGGTGACTAATCATATGGTTGTTTCAATTAACTTATTATTTATTATATTGTTTGGAATTTTGTTGGTTTCAATACCTATCCTCTTCATAATTATGGTCTCTCTACAATGTAAGACGCTTGATAAAATGGTCGATACAATACTTATTATTTTTTTAGTAATCGGCTTTTATGCCCCAAACTTTTTGCAAACATTATTGATTTTGTTAATGTGGCCAATCAATTTTTATTTTGTAAAAACATGCGTTTTTGTATTAGTACTGTCTTTAACTAGAAATATATCGTACTTTACTGATGAGGTGCCAGACAATTTTTTGGCAACTTCAACAGCAGCAATCCAATGTGAAATTCGCAATTTGATAGATAAAACGAGAAATAATAATGTGGATGAACCAATAAATACGAATATAGTATGATGAACACTCTACCGAAAAGTCTTTCGGCATGCCTTGAAATTACTAGTAAAACATATATAAAAAACTTTTTTGTTCCAGTCAGTCTTTTTGTGTAAAAACTGGTGATATTATTAGTGTGTTCTGGGGCAAAAACCAATTTTACTTAGTTTTAGGTAGTTGCTTGGCTTAACAGAGCGATCATATTATTATGACTAGCTAAATAACCCAATGAACAGACGGTCTAATATGCCAAAGAATCTTAGTGAAGACTTACGTCGGCAAATAGTATGGCAACATGACGGTTACTCGAAGAAGTAAGAGAGCTTTTAAGCGTTCTTGCTCTAGTATTACAGAGTCTTGAGACCTTATAGAGTCTGGGGATGTGTCAGTAGTTTTTTCGCAGGGGAAGAAGAAATTTTGATGGAGGTATTGACTAGCTGTATATAAGTTTCTCTCCTTGCTCGTAGCAGTAGGGCTATCGCTGAAAGGGTCGTTTCTTTAAAAAAATTTTCAGACGGGATTAAGCTAAAGATTAAAAAGAGATGCCTCAAAAAGTAAGGTGTTCTATTTGATAGTTTAACTTTGTAGTAGATCAGCAACCTAGAGTAGTGAATTTACTGTTACTATTACTATTTAGTTATTCAATTACCATTACGACTTATTTCATTATCTTCCCGAATGTATTGAGAAACTACTTATCAGAAAAGGCTTTCTGAGTCGCAATAGACAACATATGTCAACTTACAACTATTCACTTCCAATAGATGGCTCAGTCATATTGGTATGATATAAACGGACGGACGTTGAACTTGTTGCTCTCACAAAAAAAAAAATCAAGTTACTATTTTGTTAATAAATGATATTTGCCATGAAACATTGAAAGCTCATGAGTTTTATCAATATTAGATAGTCTTGCTAAATAAGCTTATATCGAGTTCAACAACTTTAATATTGATGACATTAAACTTCAGCTTAAATTATATAATGGATACATTAACCAATTGAGCGGAACTAAATAAAGATGTATTCTTTTTTTTGTGTGCAAATACGGGCAAACAATATATAGTTTATCTGCTGAGGAGACTTTGACAGAAGTTCTGCTAATGTCCAACAGTAGTAACCGTATAAGAATTGATGGTAAAACAGCATTCTAAGCATTAAAAATCACAACTCAAGGCGGAGTAGCCATAGTGCAATCTATTATTAAGTCAATCAAAACACTTTTGAGAAAGTATCATTTGCAAAAACTTTTTGTATTTGGTAGTGTCAATATGGTAAGTTGGCAATCTTGCACAGTTCCTCTCATTAAATATGGAACTTTTTGTCTGGAGATTGTTCTGCTCCTTATTCTTAACACATTTACACTACACTGAAAAAAAACTTAGTTCTATCAAGATTGAAAATAGCACCTAAATTAAAGAGTATTGAGTTCAATGAATACTTGGCAAAGTAGAAATATGATTAATTAATTCAATATGATAATAATAACCAATTTATTTTACATGTCTGATATGAAAGAAAAACTGTAAACATAAATAACTCAGTCAGCACTGATTGTAACCCGCTCTGTAACCAAAAATACCTCCCAGTCAGCCCAATAAAAGCCTGATTTTTCCATACCAGGACGTATTGGAATTTGATATGAACATTTCTCAGCACAAGTAATGTGAGAAAAATGTAAATCTGTAGAAAAGCTAGGAAACCTTTCACTTCCATCCCAAATGGCATGGTTTTCCTCTACAACACAACTGACTATGCTGTTTTCTAAATTATCTTTATCCAAAGCAAATATAAAACTTTCACTGGTTGACACATGCCCATAACCTTGGGAACCCCAAGCAATTGGGTTATATCCACCAAGTATTTCATCAGTAACCAACACCTTTCCAACAGTAACAGTAGGTCCTTTCCTTTCACACCTTTGTCGAAAATCTTTTTCCAGGCCACCATCCCTACTTCGTCTGTAAAGTAATGTGAGCTCATGTGAAGAAAGTTGTTCCCTGGTCATTCTTGAATCTTGTTTAGCATTAGTTGCAACCTTTTGTATGATCCATGATGCATGATGTCTGTCAATAATAACTGAATCAATGTCAGGCAGTTGTCCCCATCTGATTGGTAGAATTGGAACATTGGGTTTATAGTTTTCTATTGCATAGTAATTTACTATAGCATGACGCAATTCTCTTGGCAATAACTCATCATAAGGAACAATCTTCTCACTGAACTCATTATGAGACATGTTAAAAAATCTTATATGAGGTATAAAATCAGCTACAATATTTTTGATTATGTTGAAATCATCTGGTAACCAGCCGTTTGGATTATCTGTAAGTCCAGGAACCTG